CCTGTAATTGTCGTCACGTTTGGGCTCTTGAAGCTTGAATATGAAGGAAGTCTCGAGCGGGGGCCTCGTCTGTGAGTGAAGCGCGAGGAAGTCTCAGGCGGAAACCCCCTCCCTATGGGGCCCGCCGATCATGTTACTAATCCGAGCGGGTCATCGGAACCTTGTAATTGTCGTCACTTTTGGGCCTCTGAGGCTTGAATATGCAGGAAGGATCAGGCGGGAGCCTCGTCTGTGAGTGAATTGCGAGGAAGTCTCAAGCGGGAGCCCCCTCCCTATGGGGCCCGCAAATCATGTTACTAATCCGAGCGGGTCATCGGAACCTTGTAACTGTCGTCACTTTTGGGCCTCTGAGGCCTGAATATGGAGGAAGTATCAGGCGGGAGCCTCGTCTCTGAGTGAATTGCAACGACGTCTCACGCTGGAACGCCCCCCTTATGGGGCCCGCCGATCATGTAACTAATCCGAGCGGGTCATCGGCACCCTGTAATTGTGTCGTCACTTTTGGGCTCTTGAGGCCTGAATATGGAGGAAGTATCAGGCGGGAGCCTCGTCTCTGAGTGAATTGCGAGGAAGTCTCAGACGGGAGCCCCCTCCCTATGGGGCCCGCCGATCATGTTACTAATCCGAGCGGGTCATCCGCACCCTGTAATTGTCGTCACTTTTGGGCCTCTGAAGCTTGAGTACGCAGGAAGGATCAGGCGGGAGCCTCGTCTGTGAGTGAATTGCGAGGAAGTCTCAAGCGGGAGCCCCCTCCCTATGGGGCCCGCAGATCATGTTACTAATCCGAGCAGGTCATCGGAACCTTGTAACCGTCGTCACTTTTGGGCCTCTGAGGCCTGAATATGGAGGAAGTATCAGGCGGGAGCCTCGTCTCTGAGTGGATTGCGAGGACGTCTCAGGCTGGAGCGCCCTCCTTATGGGGCCCGCCGATCATGTAACTAATCCGAGCGGGTCATCGGCACCCTGTAACTGTCGTCACTTCTGGGCTCTTGAAGCTTGAATATGAAGGAAGTCTCGAGCGGGAGCCTCGTCTGTGAGTGAATTGCGAGGAAGTTTCAGGCGGGAGCCCCCTCCCTATGGGGCACGCACTTCATGTTCGAACCCGAGCGGGTCATCCGAGCGAGCTTTTTGGGCTCCTCAGCTCCTGCGGCCTGAACACGGGGGAAGCATCAAGGGGGAACTTTGTCTGTGGGCGGTGCGGGTAGCCCCGTCAGAGGACCGTCTCCTGTCGTCACTTGGAGGTCTGAGGACGGATTTTAGAACTCGCTCCTGCGGCCTGAATACCGGGGAGTTACCAAGCGGGAGTCTCGTCTGTCTGAACTGGTCGCGGGTAAAATTGTTGTTGTCATGGGCCTGCGTGCCCGAAAGGGCGATTGAGAAGTCCGGGTAGCATCGTCCGAGCTGGTCGTCGGCAAACTTGTTGTAGTCATGCGACAGCGTGGAGGTCCGAGAGGCTCCGCCGCCCCACGTGTCCACGGAGAAGTAGGAAGAGGAATAGAGTGAGGAAGAGAGGGCAGTGCAGAGGGCGAGAGGAGAGGGTGTCCGCCAGGGGGAGGAGGAAAGGGCAAAGGGTAAGCTAAACAGATTCTCATGTGGGGTCCTACCGTCGGAGTAATTTTATTATTATTAGCAGTAGTAGTTGTAGTAGTAGTATGACCAGTAATTGTATTGGTACTGTTATTGTTACAAGAGTACTGCTACTACGACTACTACTACTACTACTACTACTACTACTACTACGACGACGACGACGACGACTACTACTACGACGATTATTATGACTACTACGACTACGATTACGACTACTACGACTACTACTACTACTACTACTACTACTACTACTACTCTACTACTATTACTACTACTACTACTACTACTACTACTACTACTACTACTACTAACGACTAATACAATTACTACTACTACCACTACTACTACTACTACTACTACGACTACTACTACTACTACTACTACTACTACTACTACTACTACTACGACTACTACTACTGCGACTACTACGACGACTACTACTACTACTACTACTACTACTACTACTACTACTACTACTACTACTACGACTATTACTACTACTACTACTACTACTACTACTACTACTACTACTACTACTACTACTACTACTACTACTACTACTACTACTACTACTACTACTACTACTACTACTACTACTACTACTACTACGACTGCGACTACTACTAATACGACTACGACTACGACGACTACTACTACTACTGCGATTACTACGACAACTACTATCACTACTACTTCTACTACTACTACTACTACTACTACTACTACTACTATTACTACGACTACGACTACTACTACGACTGGTATAACTTCTACTACTGCTACTACGACTACTAGTACTACTACCACTACTACTACTGCAACTACAACTACAACTACTACTACTACTACTACTGCTACTACGACTACTACTACTACTACTACGACTACTACTACTACTACTACTACTACTACTACTACTACGACTAGTATTACGTATACTACTGCTACTACTACTACTACTACTACTACTACTACTACTACTACTACTACTACTACTACTACTACTACTATAACTACTATACATACATACACACATATGTGTATATATATGTATATATATACTGACAGAAAATGATACGAGGAGTACCATGAACAACACTACTGCAATTACAAACATTAATGATAAAACATATTAGTGTTAGTAGCAGTAGCAGTAGTAATCATATTCTTCGTATTACGCATGTGAGTAATAGTGTCCCCCGTCTTCTTATTAGTAGTAATATTATTTGTATTACTCGTATTAGTCGTCTTCTTAATGTTCGTGCTACTCGTTTTTCTTTCAAGTAATGAGGATATCACTCGTGTGTGTTTTTCTCATTCCTGATGTTATTCCTCGTATTCTTCAGATGCTCCGTATGAGTATGGTTCATATCATCCTTCGGATTATCATCAGAAGGTTTACGTGCCCTATCTTCCTTATGATTGTCATCGGTAACAATGCGAAGACTAACAAGCATGACAACATCACTGACACTCGTATTAGTAGTATTAGTAGCTTTGCTACTCAAAGTCCTCATCCTCCTCCTCCTCCTCCTTCTCCTCCTCATCCGCCTCCTCCTCCTTTTCCTCCTCATCCTCCTCACATACCTCCTCCTCATCCTCCTCCACCTCCTCCTCCTCCTCCTCCTCCTCCTCCCTCTCCTCCTCATCCCCTTCCTCCTCCTCCTCCTCCAGCAGTTCCTCCTCCTCGTCCTCCTCCTCCTCATCCTCATTCTTCTCTTCCTCCTCCTCTTCCTCCTCCTCCTGCTCCTTCTCCTGGTCCTCCTCATCGTCCTCCTCAGCATCATCATCATCATCATCATCATCATCATCATCATCATCATCATCATCATCATCATCATCATCATCATCATCATCATTGTCAGCAGCATCATCGTCATTATCATCATCATCAGTAGCAGCAGCATGATCATCAGCAGCATCATGATCATCATCACCATCATCATCAGCACCATCGACAACAACATCAACATCATCAGCATCCTCATACTCATCGTCATCATCATCCTCATGCTCATCATCATCGTCATCGACATCATCAGCAGTATGGGCATCATCATCATCAGCATCATCATCAGCGTCATCAGCAGCAGCATCATCCATATCATCGTCATCATCATCGACACCACCACCACCACCATCATCACCATCATCATCATCACCATCATCATCATCATCATCATCATCATCATCATCATCATCATCATCATCATCATCATCATCCTCATCCTCCTCATCATCATCATCATCATAAGCATCATCCTCATCAGCATCTTTTTTTGGGGGGGGCGGGCCTGCGAGCCGACTAGATAAGGGCACCGAAGCTAACGTGCTCCGGCGGGCGTTTCCGGAGCATGCTGGAACGTGCTCCGGCGGAGCGAAGCTGGAGCACGCTGGAGAGAGGAGGAAGACAAGGAGGAGAAGGAGGAGAAAAAACGAGCGACAAGACGGTTGCATTTGAAAGCCGCTGTCTTCCTCACCTATTGCGGGAGACGGGGCAACTAAGACAAATCGAAGGAAGCTGGCCTGGAGGCACAGCGGGCCCTACCCCCTTAGGCAAGGCTGCGGTCGCCGTACCACGCTGGAGCACAACAGACGAACCAGAAGGAGGAAGCGAGGGAAAAAGGGAAGAAGAAAACGAATAGGAGTCTACCTGCGGGGGCGGATCCGGGGCCGCTCAGCCCAGAGCGAATCCACGATCCTCATGCTGGCGGTGTGCCCCGCCACGGCGTTGCGACACTGTTCTCGATGGCCTCGAACGCTGTGTTCTCCGATACTCCGCCAAGCGGTCTGTATTGGTTGGACGTATTATACACGGCGTACAGGAGGACTGCCATGCAAGTCAAGGCCTCCGCGTCCTCCGAGAACACCTGGTGCGCCAGCATAAAATGGTCAACTGTGAAGGGCGTGATGCGGCGCATGTTGAGGAAGTTATCGGCGACCCGTCGCACGCACCTGCAAAATATGTAGTGCTCGATCGGATCCTCCGCATGGCCTAGGCAGCCCAGCAAACACCGGTTCGCGGGGGAGGCCCGATTCTGGAAACGACGTGGCGTGCACCATCTGTTCCACAACGTTGACAAACATGCGGCTTGAACACGAGGTGCAACCAAGGCAGGAAGGCGTTGAACATGGCGTGCCACACGGGCGGCCGAGCGTGCCGGCCGGCCCGAAAGATGCCACCTGGCCGTCTTGTGGCGGATCCACCCGTCATCATCCTCATCTTCATCGTCATCATCATCCTCATGATCATCATCATCGTCATCGACATCATCAGCAGTATGGGCATCATCATCACCATCAGCATCATCATCAGCATCTTCATCAGCAGCATCATCACCAACAGCATCAGCATCACCATCAGCATCATCAGCATCATCAGCATAATCAGCATCACCATCAGCATCAGCATCATCAGCATCATCGCATCATCAGCATCATCATCATCATCATCACCATCATCAGCATCATCATCATCTTCCTCCTGTTGACTCCCTCCTCCTCCTCGTCCTCCTCGTCGTCCTCCTCCTCCTTCTCATCATCATAATCATCAGCAGCATCAGCAGCATCATCATCACTGGCACCATCACCATCACCATCACCAGCATCATGATCATCATCATCAGCAGCAGCATCATCAGCAGCAGCATCAGTATTAGCATCATCATCATCATCAACATCATCATTATCAACATCATCATCATCATCAGCATCAACATCAACATCAACATCATCATCATCATCATCATCATCATCATCATCATCATCATCATCATCATCATCATCATCATCATCATCATCATCATCATCATCATCATCATCATCATCATCGGCATCATCATCAGCATCATCAGCATCCTCTTCACCCTCTCTTCCTCCCCCTCCTCCTTCTCCTCCTCCTCCTCCTCCCCCTCCTCCCCCTCCTCCTCCTACTCCCCCTCCTTCTCCGCCTCCTCCTCCTCCTTTTTGACATTGAGATCCGCCCGAAATCCACGATCCTCCAACCCTCCGCCGGCCCGCCCGCCGGGCGGCTCCGTACAGGTTCGCGTCGAACACGGTCTGGCGGGGCCCCCGAGAGCCCCGCGTGCCGCCGCGCTCCCCCCGCCCCGGCGGCGGCGGCGGCGGCGGCGGCGGCAGCGGCGAACGACGACGACAACGACGACGACGACGACGACGACGACGACGACGACGACGACGACGGCGACGACGACGCCGACTGCGACGAAAGCGGCGGCGACGGCGACGGTGGCGACGGCGACGGCGACGGCGGCGACGATAAAGACGACAGCGGCAGCGGCGGCGGCGGCGGCGGCGGCGGCGACGGCGACGGCGACGGTGATGGCGATGACGGCGACGATGGCGACGACAACGGCGACGACAACGGCGGCAGCGGCGGCAGCGGCAAACGACGACGACGACGACGACGACGACGACGACGACGACGACGACGACGACGACGACGACGACGACGACGACGACGACGGCAGCGGCGACGACGACGACGGCGGCGGCGACGATGGCGACGACAACGACGACGACGACGACGACGACGACGACGGCGGCGGCGACGACGGCGACGACAACGACGGCGGCGACGGGGACGACGGCGGCGGCGGCGGCGGCGGCAACGATAGCGACAACGGCGGCGGTGCCGCCGCCGCCAGGTCCGAGGCGACGGCGGAGCGCCCATGGAAGCGGGCCACGCTGGCCAGCCCCAGGGCCACCTGGAAAGCCTTCGGGGGGCCTCCAGAGGCCGTCGAAGGCCTCCGAGGGCCTCCGGAGGGCTTCTGCGGGTCTCTGGAGACCTCGAGGCCTCCGGAAGTCTCGACAGGCTTCCGGAGGGCCCGCGGCGGTCCTCATGGTCGGGGCCACCCGAGACCGTGGCATGGCGCATGCGCCACCCTGGCCGAAGCCAGGAGGGTCTAGGCACGCACCATCCTGCGTCCGAGGCGGACGGAGCAGGAGAAGGCGGACGGAGCAGGAGAAGCAAGAGGGGTTAGGAGGAGGAGGAGGAGGAGGAGGAGGAGGACGACGACGACGACGAGGAGGAGGAAAAAATGGAGGAGGTGTGCAGCTGCCTCCGACCGTCGTGACCTCCTGTTTCGGTGTGCGGGTTCTCTTCGACCTCGGCCTCTGGGGGGGAGCCCCCTTCGTCAGGGCCTCGCACTGGCCTGCACTTTTTGGGGGCCCTGCCCTGCCAGCGCGCGCGAGGTCCAGACATCCACTGAATGATCTCCGCGTGGACAGCAGAGCCCGCGGGAGCAGCTGTTGCATCGGGTGAGCACCCCGCGTGTGAAACGCACACAACCAGATCTGAGCCGAATGAGCAGGTTTGACGGCCTCTGGGATCGAGGACCGAGGGTCGGGATCCACATTTGGGGCTCCCTGGGCCTGCGTCCTCAGGCTGTTTTGCTCCGACTCCGGATTGGCAACGTGGGGGCCATGCGTCTTGCCGTTTATGGCCTCGGCTCGCCTGTGAAGGCGGCCGACTTCCTTAGAGCTCCGAACAGTTATGCATATATATATATACATATATATATGTATAGATGCACATGCATACATACAGACAGACAGACAGACAGACAGACAGACTGACAGACTGACAGACAGACAGACAGGCAAGCAGGCAGGCAGGCAGACAGACAGACAGACATACGTACATACATACATACATGCAAGCACGCAGGCATGCATAGATACATGTATACATACACACCTACCTACATGCATGCATGCATTCATACATACATATATGCATACATGCATACATGCATACATGCGAACATGCATACGTGCATACATGCATACATGCATACATGCATGCATGCATGCATGCATATATACATATATATATACCACATGCGTACATAAAATGCACATGCACTCCTACATATATACATATATATGTGTGTGTGATCCAGGTCTGGGCCCCCCACCCCCACCATGCTGGTGGCATCGGCCCCCCACCCACACGATGGGTCCCCCCCCGTAGGTGTGGTGTGGTGCTGTAAGTGTGGCGTGTGGCGTGGTACTGTGCTCCAGGAGAGCTCTGGAGGTCGTCGTCGTCGCCGCCGCCGCCGTCGTCGGAGGAGGAGGGCTCCGGAGGTCGGTGCCGGCGCCGCCGCCGACGCCGCCACCGTCGTCGTCGTCACCATCGTCGCCGCCGTCGTCGTCGTCGCCGCCGTGTCGTCGTCGTTGCCGTCGTCGTTGTCGTCGTCATCGTCGTCGCCGTCCGCTGTCGCCGTCGTCGCCGTCGTCATCGTCGTCGTCGTCGTCCCGCCCCGCCATCCCATCTGGGGGGGGGGAGGGGCCAGCGGAGTCCTGGGACGCATCCTATCTTGGGGGGGGGCCCGTGGGCCCTCGACCCAGGGATCTCATATAAATATATATATATATATATATATATATACATATATACACACACATACCTATGTGTATATATATACCAGACTGCAGTGGCGCTTCGCGCCATGCACCTTGATCCTTGAAGTTTGGCATGCAGGCGGAATAGCAGGAAGGTCAAGCCGACAATTTAGCGATGACTCCTGGTTGCCTTTTCTGGCATCGCCGCTATAAATAATGTTATTCGGTATCCTTCCTCCATGTTTCTTTTTCCTTATTTTCGCCATGCCCTGCGCATTCTCCCCATCCTCCTCAGCTACTTTTTGCGGAGGCTCCTCCTTGGAGAGCCTCTAGGGGCCTCACAAAAGCTGTTTCAGGCTTTCTCAAGGCCTTCTGGCGACCTCCTGGGCGTATTCTGGGAGCCTCCCGGGGCTTCCTCGGGCCACCCTGCCTCCAACCGCGGTTTCCCTGAACGACCGAATCACGATTTGGAATTCTTCGGAGGGTGTCGTTGGGCCATATCGGGCCGCCATGGGGCTCTCTGAGAGCCATCTTGGACCCGTGTTGTGCCGTTTGGGGGCTCTCTCCGACTGCCTGGAAGCCCTTTCGGATGGTTGTGGGGCGATTTGGGAGCCTCCCAGGCGGCTTCGGACGCCCAGAAGACCGCCGTCTTGGAGCGTCGGGAAGCCGAAAAGAGGACAACCCCAAAATTCACCAAAAACCTACCAATGATTTTTGCCTCGGGGGGCCTTCTTGGGAGTGCTCTTGGAGGCCTCTTTGGGGCCGTCCTGGAGGCCTCTTGGGCCATCTTGAGGTCACGTCGGTCACTCTTGGAGCGCTCTTGTGCTGTCTTGGGGGTCTCTGGGACGTCTCCGATGATCCCCCTGATCGCCCTAGGTGTGCTGGGAATGCTTGGCAAAACGCCATGTGAGGCCCGGTGGCCACTTCGAGGCCTGGAGGGCCCCGAAGCCCCAGATCCCAGGAGTCGGGTTTTGGGGGTGGGGGGGGGGGGTTCTCCCCGCCCGGGCTTATGAAAAATAGGAAAAGGAATATGGGGAGGGGGTCCTGGACCGGGGGAGGCCCCACTTTGCCGAGTGGCTGTGGTCCCCCCCCCCCGGAGGCGCCAGGACGCTCCCAGAACCGCCTACAATGGCTCCAGGACGCCCTCAGGACAGCCCAAGAGAGGTCCGAGACGGCCCGGGAGCACGCCAAGACGGCTCCAGATGGCTCCAAGATCGGCCAAAAAGCTTCCAAAACGTCCCAGTAGGCCTCCGACAGCACCCCCGGGAAGGGCCGAAGAGACAAACATCATTGTTTTTGTCACTGGTTTTTGAAAGATTTGAGCGCTCTCCCCCGCTTGGTTTCCCAACGCTCCAAGATGGCCCAAAAGGCCCGAAAGATGACCCGGAGACGGGCCAAGAGGCCTCCAAGAGAGCGCCGAAACAGCCCAAGAAGGCCCAAAGACGGCCCAAGAGGCTCCCAAGACGGCCGAAAAGGGCACCAAAAACGCCCCAAGAGGGGCCCCAGCGGGGGAACACGAACCGAATTTCAAGCCCTCGCCCACTTGAAGCCCCCAAGAGGCCCCCAGGAGTCCCCAAGAGACCCTCGAGAGGCCTCCAGGAAGCCCCAAGAGGCCCCCAAGAGGCCCCCGAAAGGTCCCCAAGAGGCTCCCAAGAGGCCCCAAGAGGAAGCCACGAAGTACCCAAGAGGCCCCCGAAAGGTCCCCAAGAGGCTCCCAAGAGGCCCCAAGAGGAAGCCACGAAGTACCCAAGAGGCCCCCGAAAGCTCTCCAAGAGGCCTCCGAAAGACTTCCACCACAAATATCCCAACAGGCATCGAGCAGGCCACTGGCCCATCACCCAGGCATGGCGGCCTCAGGCCCACAACCCAAGTCCCCAAGACGGCTCAAGCGGCATCCAAGACGCTGCGGAAATATCCACGAGTTCGGCGGGAGAGCCCCCGCAAGCACAACTACGATGATGATGATGATGATGATGATGATGATGATGATGATGATGATGATGATGCTGATGATGCTGATGATGATGATGATGATGATGATGATGATGATGATGATGATGATGATGATGATGATGATGATGATGATGATGATGATGATGACGGTGTTTATGATGATGAGGATGATGATGATGGTGGTGATGGTGACGATGACTATGATCCTAGCTAGAACCTAAGCGCGCGCGAAGCGTGCGTGGTTTTCACACACACACACATATATATAGAGATGTGTGTACACATATACATATATATATATATACATACATACATACATACATACATACACACATACATACATACATACATACATACACACACATACATGTGTATACAAGTTTGCAGTGGCGCTTCGCGCCATGCACCTTGGTCCTTGAAGTTTGGTATGCAGGCGGACTAGCAGGAAGGTCAAGCCGACAATTTAGCGATAACTCCTGGTTGCCTTTTCCGGCATCGCCGCTGTAGTAATGTTATTCGTTATCCTTCCTCCATGCTTCGTTTTCTTTATTTTCGCCATGCCCTGCGCACTCTCCCCACCCTTCTCAGCTCTTTTTTGCGGGGGCTCCTCCTTGAAGAGCCTCTAGGGGCCTCACAAAGTTGTTTCAGGCTTTCTTAAGGCCTTCTGGAGGCCTCCTGGGCGTATTCTGTGGGCCTCTGGGGGCTTCCTCGGGCCACCCTGCCTCAACCACGATCTCCCTGAACGACCGAATCACGATTTGGAATTCTTCGGAGGGTGTCTTTGGGCCATCTTGGGCCGCCATGGGGCTCTCTGAGGGCCATCTTGGACCCGTGTTGTGCCGTTTTGGGGCTCTCTTCGACTGCCTGGAAGCCCTTTCGGATGGTTGTGGGGCGATTCTGGAGCCTCCCAGGCGGCTTCGGACGTCCAGAAGACCGCCGTCTTGGAGCGTCGGGAAGCCGAAAAGAGGACAACCCCAAAATTCACCAAAAACCTCGATTTGGCCGGTTCTCCGATTTTGCCGGTTCCCCGATTTAGGCAGGTTCCCCGATTTGGCTCTTCACCCAAGAAGGGGAATGGGAGTTGGGCTGTGACTTGTATTGATAAAGCAGATTTGTTTGCTGATTTGTTTTAGCAATAAATGAGACATGCCCGATGTGGAGCAAAACGCATTCGCTGATCTATCGGGGATTATGGCTCATCCTGACCCCACCTCGTTCTTCCGTGTCCGTGCTTCGCGCTATGTTCTTGCTGCTCTCAGAGCAGACAGCAGCAGCAGCCCAGATGTCGTTCTGATGCGGGGTTTGAAGGCTTGTGCGCGGGAGTTGGCAGTATAAATTATTTTAATTGCGCGATCAGTTTTAGTACACGGCAGATGGCCAGAGATTTTCTCCAGCACTGGATTGTTTCATTGTTTAAAAAAGGGTCTGCGCTACCGAGGTTTACAGTTGACGTCAAGGTGTCCAAAGTTGTGGAGCGCTTGTTGGGAGCATTGTTCCTTTCCCGCCTTCAGAGAGTCGGAGCATATGGTCCTTTCTAATTTGCGTATCGATAGGAGCACGGGGCCAGGGATGCCATCTTGTTTTTCATGTTTTGTTCGCTGATGACCCCCCTGATCGCCCTAGGTGTGCTGGGAAGGCTTGGCAAAACGCCCTGCGAGGCCCGGTGGCCCCGTCAAGGCCCGTCCGGAGGGTCCCAAAGCCCCAGATCCTGGGAGTCTGGTTTTTGGGGGGGGACGGGTTTTCCCCCCGCCCGGGCTTATAAAAATATAGAAAGAGGAATATCCGTATGCAAGACGGCACGACAAGGAGAGGAGATCGCGCCCGAGCGCGCGGGCAACTTTCATGTCTACCACCTCGCGCATAAAAAATGCTACGAGCGAAGCTCCTCATCCCCGATCCTCAGAGGGAAGAGGGGAAGAGAGAGCGGAGCGGGGAAAGGGCCCCGAAAGACCAGAGGCCACCCAAAACCCAAGCGGGGCCCCCGCTAACAATAGTACGCGCCAGCCGCGAGGGGTAAAAGACATCCGTGCCCCTTTTGGAGAGCCTCCTGGGGCGCCCTCGTGGCAGCCGCTGGACGCGGTCTCGGCAGGCTGGTCAGGACGGCCACCAGGAGTCGATTCTGAGCGACGACTCAGGGCACGGTGGCGGATACATCGGTGCGGGAATTGTTTCTGTGGCCCGCCATCTACCGCGCCCAGTTCCGCAGGCTGCAGGCTCCTCGGAAGGCCGGCCGGGTCTTCCAGGATCAAGCTGCCTTGCGGACATCTGGGTCCCAGACCTCCAGGCGTCGCGGAAAAAGCACGATTAGCGCGCTTCCTCGAGCTGGACCTCCAGAGCCACAGCTCGGACCGTTGGGGGGGGAATCGGGAGCACGACCAGGGATGAAGAGCCGGCCCCTTGGGGAGGGGTCAGTAGCAACGGGGCCTGCGGGCTGAAGAAAACAGGCCGCTGAAAGCCTGAGAGGCTGGAAAAGTCGTCCCGAGAAGCGTCTGGACGTCTCTGGTTAGTCTCGGAGGTTTCTGGGTGTGTCTCTGTACGGGGGGGTATGGGACCGAACGATACACACTGGAAGTCTTCGAAGTTTTCGGATGTGTCCTGATGCTCTCGGTGCTTCATCACGCATTCCTGCAACCCTGCGGCGTGACCGTCGAACCCTCTTCCTCCCCCTGCACCTCCAACTCCTCCTCCTCCTCCTCCTCCTCCTCCTCCTCCTCCTCCTCCTCCTCCCTCCTCCTCCTCCTCCGCTCCTTCTCCTCCTCCTCCTCCTCCTCCTCCTCCTCCTCCTCCTCCTCCTCCTCCACCCCCGAAAGCGAAGACGGCAGAGACAACGACTACGACGCCGCCGACGACAACGACCCCCGACGAGGGCCTGCAGCGTGGCCCTCGAAGGGTTGCTGATCACCTGGCGGAGGGTATCCTATCGCGGCGGGCACCGAGGCTGCGGGTCTCAGGGAACATCCCTCCTCCTCATCCTCCTGTTCTTCCCCCTCCTTCTCATCCTCCTCCGCCTCCCTCCGTCCCTCCCTCCCTCCCTCCTCCCTTGTCTCGCCTCACTCCTGTTTCCTCCTTCTTCTCCGTACGCCTCCTCCCGTCTCCCTCCCTCCCTCCTTCCCTCCTGTCCCAATGGTCCCGCGGGCTGTCCAGTGGGCTGCCCCGTGGCCAGCTCCGTGGGTTTGTCCCGCGGGCTGTCCCGCGGTTGTCCCGTCAGTCGGCCCGTGGTTGTTCCGTGGGTTGTCCTGTACGTTGTCCCGTGTCTGTTCTGTGCGTGTTCCCGTTGGTTGTCCCGTGGGCTGACCTATCAGGGAACGCAGACCGACATGCAAATCGGGTTCCAAACGATAGGCACGTCGAAGCGCAAGTCGAAGTGAAAATCGAAACGCATGTCAAAAATCAAATCGAAGCGCAGATCGACACCCAAATTAGTTGCACATGGAGGATGATGCCAAAACTGCAACTAGCTCAAAGCAAAACGCACATGGTAATAATCTTCGGAACTCACATCCAAACGCCACCGGCTTGCAAATCGACATGCATACAGGTATGGTAATTGGAATTGAAACGGGAACGTAATTATGTCTGCAACTCAGAATGTACATGGGAATGTAAATAAAGCTGGAAGCCCGAATGCGCACTGGCATGCACAATAATTCATCATTTTTTGATTCGGGATGCAAGCCGACATGTTGACAGAACTGGTTTCGAAATGCAAGCCCGAGTCAAAACCCAAGCGCTATCGAAATGCACATCGAAATTCCAGTTTTGCCACCCACCCCTGGGGTAAAACGAAAAAATATAAAAAGAGAGAGAGAGAGAGAGCGTGCGTTGAAAAAAAGAGAGATAGAGAGAGAGAGAGAGACAAAAAAGAGATAAGGAGAGAGAGAGAGAGAGAGAACAAGGGAGAGACAGACAGACAGAGACAAACAGACAGGAAAGAGAGAGAGAGAGAGAATAAACAAAAAAAAATTGGTTAAGCACGGGCGTACGCAACCCACCCCCTCAACAGGATTGCTGTGGGTGGGATGCTCCCGCGCGAAACTCGCGATGCCCGTGACCCAGCCTCCCCAAACACCTGCTCCGACTGCGCCTGCGAGTGAGCGCCCTCCTCGCCTTGATCCCCACGCCGCCCCCTTGACAAGGAGAAATTTCGCTGTACGACTGTGAGTGCCGGGGTCTCGCGCCGCGACTGAAATCTCGCTCGTCGCTGTGCAGTGGGTCAGCGTTCGAGCACGTCGCGACATGCGCGGCTGCGCGGGGGCGCCACGTCGGCAACGGAATGCGATTTGTCGCGCTGAGGTCGGCGCGCCGCTGGTCGGCGCTCGAGCGCGCGTGGAACGGTAGAAGGGCTCGCGCCCGGCATCGGCGGCGATCTCGTAGCGCGTTCTTCGCGCAGGCGGTTCGCTACACGAAGGAGGTGGCGCCTCGCTGCGCGACTAATTAAGCGCGCGCTCGCGGCGCGCGGGGTTCTCGCGATGCTCGAGGCTCGCTCTGATCTTGAAGCATAGCGCAGGCGGTGGATGCCGCGAACGAGTCGCGCCATGCGCGGTAGCGCATTTGCAATTTCTCGCGATGAGGCCTGCGCGCGACGCCAGGCAGACTCCTTGCACGACCGGGCAGCGCTCGGGCGCGCAGGGGCGGCGTCGCGCGTCTTGTCGGCAGCGGCCTCGGCAACGATTTTCGCGCGGAGGTCCGCACGCGGCGCCAGGAAGCTTCCTCGTGCGACCAGGTTGCGCTCGCGCGCGCAGGGGAGGACTCGCGCGTCGCATTGGTGATTCTGCGTCGCCTCGGCGAAAATCTCGAAACGCAGTTTCTCGCGCCGGGGTCGGGGCGCGGCGCCATGCAGATCCCTTGCGCGACCAGGCATCAACCGAGCGCGTGGGGGGGGGGGGACTCGCGCGTCGCCGCATCGGCGGCGGTCTCCGCAACGATTTCCGCGCGGGGGCCAACACGCGGCGCCAAGCAGATTTCTCGCGCGACTGGGTAGCGCTCGCGCGCACAGGGGGGGGGGGGGGCTCGCGCGCCGCATCGGCCAAAGCCTCGGAACGTGGTTAATTTCTCGCGCTGGGGTCGGCGCTTGGCGCCAGGCAGACTCCTCGCGCGACGGGGCAGCGCTCGATCGCGCCGGGGGGGGACTCCCGCGTCGCCTCAGAAGCGGCCTCGGCACGCGATTTTCGCCAAGGGGTCGGCGCGTGGCGCCAAGCAGCTGCCTCGCGCGACTGTGTAGCGCTCGTGCACGCGGGGGGGGACTCGCGCGTCGCATCCGCGAATGTTTCGGAACGCGGTTTCCCCGCGGGGGTCGGCGCGCGGAGCCAAGCAGCCTCCTTGCGCCAATCGGCAGTGCTCGAGCGCGCGCGCGGGGGGGGGGACTCGCGCGTCACATCGGCGGCGATCTTGGAATGATGTTTCGGCGCTATGGTCTCGATCCGCGAACAGGATGGCGCCTCGCTGCGCGACTGGACACGCGCGCGAGGATGTCTCAGCGGATGTGTCGCACATGCGGGCGCTCCGCTCGTGACCACCGCCCGGGGGGTGGGGAGGCTTGTATGATAAAAAGTTGAAGCGTGTTCTCGGGATCCTTCAAGCCACGTCAGGCACTCAAAATTCATCAGGCTTCCTCATGATTCCCCCCGACGCGTCAAAGGTCCACGCGGTTCCTTCGGCTGCGGCGCAGCTGCGTAGTATGTGCTGGCGTCCCTCGACGCGACCACCACGCTGAATGGGGGGGTCTAAAAAAGAAATCTCGACTAAGGGTTTCTGCGGGATCCCCCAGGCTGCGTCAGAATTCCCCGGGATCCCGCAAGGTCCCTTCAAATTTCTCCTGATCACTCGGAGTTCCTGAAGATGTCTTGGGATTCTCCAGAATTCTGCAAGATCCTTCGGTACTGTGCAAGTCTACCCTTGGTTCCCCCTGAATCGCGTTGATTCCCCGAGTTTACCCCGGATTACGCGGGAGTCTTTTGGATTCCTCAGGCGCCTCCAGGTGCCATTACAATGTTCCACGCGGGGCTTCTGGCAGCGTCGCAATGGCGTCGCATCTCCTGTGGTCTCCTGGGGCCAACTGTGATCTCCGGGTGGTACCTGAGGTTTACTGGGGCCTCCTCCTGGAGCACCCTGGGTTTCCCTAGAGCTTCCTGAAATCATTTGGGGTCCCCTGGAGCTCCCAAGGGCTCCGTTCCCTGAAATTCATGGGCCCCTCTGGAGCTTCCAGGGCCCCGTGGGGCTTTCGAAGATTCCCTGGGATTTCCTGGTGTTGCCTGGGGTTGTTTGGAATCTCCTGGGTTGTCCTCGAAGTCCCTGGGATTCCCTGGGGGGTCCTGGAGCCTCCTGCGGTTCCCTGGGGCTCCCTGGGGCTCCCTGGGGCTCCACTGGGTTTCCGGAGTTTCTTGGGGTTCCCTGCGGCTCCATGTGGCTTCCTTGAACCTCACGGGGTTTCTGGAGTTCGCTGGAGACACCTTAGGTTTCCTGGTATTTTCTGGTGGTCCGTGGGGTCCCCTGGCGCTTCCTGGAGCAACCAGCGAGCTCCTGCAGCTCCCTGGCGCCCGTCCTTTGGTTTCCTGGGGATTCGCGGAGGCTCCCAGAACTCCCTGGAGGATCCCTGACATGAGTCATGTTGGGCCAGGCTCCAGGAGGCCTCTGCGAGGCCCTAAAGAAGGTTCAAACACAGGTGGACCGTGGAGCCTCTTCCTGGAGTCCCCCGCAAGCCAACAAGCTTCAGAAAGGAAGGCGTAGCACGCCTTCCGCACTGCTAGAAGGCGGGAAAGTCAATTCTCCCTCGCTGGCGTAGCTCATATGGCACTCCGCTAAACGCTCCGACCATTAACCGTTCGCTGCCTGACGGTAATCGGAAACGGCGCTCGCTCCAGAGTGAAAGTGAGAAAGAGAAACGGCAGGGAGGGAAACACGGACGGGCAGACAGACAGACAGACCGACCGACAGACAGACAGACATACAGACAGACAGGCAGACAGACAGGCAGGCAGGCAGTTAGGCAGGCAGACAGACAGGCAGACCGACAGGCAGACAGACAGACAAAGAGAGAGAGAGAGAGTGAGGAGGAGGAAATAGAAGGGGATGGAGGGAGGGAGGGAGGGAGGGAGGCAGGATGAAGTGGGAGGAGGGAGGGGTATACCAGGGGGAATGAAAGAGGAGAGGACGAGGGGGAAGCGAAAGGGTGAAGATAGCAAGAGGGAAAGAGACAGCACACCGACTGACAGAAAGACAGACAGACACACAGTCAGGCCACGAACTGGCGATTATAGAAGGGTAGAGTACGCAAGAGAGCGAGAGAAAGTGTGAGAGAGAGAGAGAGAGACGAGGACGACGACGACGACGACGACGCCGCCGCCGCCGCTGCCGCCGACGCCGATGACGACGACCACGACGACGACCACGACGACGACAACGACGGCGGCGGCGGCAGCGGCGGCGGGTGCGGCGGCGGCAGCGACGGCGGCGGCGGCGGCCACGACGACCACGACCACGATCACGACCGCGACGACCACGACGACCACCACGGACCACGACGGCGGCGTGGGGCAGTCCACGGCCAGGTGTTTCATCTTGAGGATCAGGGACGCGGGGTCACGCGAGTGGTAGACTGGGGGGGGGGGGGGCGGCGCGCGGCGCGGCTCCCTACCTCCTCCTCCTCTCCTCCTCCTCCTCCTCCTCCTGCTCCTCCTCCTCCTCCTGCTCCTCCTCCCTCCTCCTCCTCCTCCTCCCCGTTTCCCTCCTCATCCTCCTCCTCCTGCTCTTCCTCTTCCTCCTCCTCCTCTTCCTCCTCCTCCTTTTTCTCCTCCTCCTCTTCGTCCTCCTCCTCCTCCTCCTCCTCCTCCTCTTCCCCCTCTTCCTCCTCCTTCTCGCCCTCCCCCCCCCCGCACGACAAAGAGGCGGCCCTCGGGCCGGCCACGAGGGGGGCCCAAAAAGCAGAGCAGCCCCTCCGACGGAGGACGGGGCGGGAGGGGGGGGAGCGGGGAGGAGGGGGCGCAGGGAGGGAGCGACGACGGGGACAGGGAGGAGAAGAGAGAGGGAGGAGCCCGAGGAGTGCGACGAGGACTACGAGAAAGACGACGACGACGACAAAGACGACGACGACAAAGACGACAAAGACGACGACGACGACGACGACAAAGACGACGACGACAAAGACGACGACGACAACAACGACGACGGCGAAAACGACGACGACAAAGACGACGACGACGAAGACGAACCATATCGCTCTCTCTCTCTCTTTCTATATTTCTGGTTATCCGTCTCGCTTTCTCTCTCTCTCTCTCTCTCGCTCTCTCCGTCTCTCCGTCTCTCCGTCTCTCCGTCTCTCCGTCTCTGTCTCTGTCTCTGTCTTTGTCTCTGTCTCTCTCTCTCTCTCCCTCTCTCTCTCTCTCTCTCTCTCTCTCTCTCTCTCTCTTATTTATATATATATATATAGAGATCCATTTCCTCAGTTTCGCTCTCTCTCTCTCTCTCTCTCTGTATGTATATATATATACAAGACTGCAGTGGCGCTTCGCGCCATGCAGCTTGGTCCTTGAAGTTTGGAATGCAGGCAGAATAGAAGGAAGGTCAAGCCGACAATTTAGCGATAACTCCTGGTTGCCTTTTCTGGCATCGCCGCCATAATAATGTTATTCGTTATCCTTCATCCATGCTTCTTTTCCTTATGTTCGCCATACCCTGCGCATTCTCCCCATCCTCCTCAGCTCTTTTTTGCGGAGGCTCCTCCTTGGAGAGCCTCTAGGGGCCTCACAAAAGTTGTTTCGGGCTTTCTTAAGGCCTTCTGGAGACCTCCTGGGCGTATTCTGGGGGCCTCCGGGGGCTTCCTCGGGCCACCCTGCCTCCAACCGCGGTCTCCCTGAACGACCGAATCACGATATGGAATTCTTCGGAGAGTGTCTTTGGGCCATCTTGGGCCGCCATGGGGCTCTCTGAGGGCCATCTTGGACCCGTGTTGTGCCGTTTGGGGGCTCCCTTGGACTGCCTGGAAGCCCTTTCGGATGGTTGTGGGGCGATTTGGGAGCCTCCCAAGCGGCTTCGGACGCCCAGAAGACCGCCGTCTTGGAGCGTCGGAAGCCCAAAAGAGGAGAACCCTAAAATTCACCAAAAACCCACAGATACTTACGCTACCGAGGAACCCCACATACTGATTTTCAATTTTATGTGTTTGCTTGTCATTATCATATATGCGCAGTCCTGCGTTCTAAACCCTCGTCGCGAATCGTCGTCGTACTTGTCGTACTCGTCGTCGTACTCGTCGTACTCGTCGTCGTACTCGTTGCCGTTCTATCGTGTTACTCGTCATCGTACTCGTCGTCGTACCTCGCCGTCGTACTCGTCTTCGCATTCGTCGTCATGCTCGTCGCACTCGTCGTCGCACTCGTCGTCGTCGTTCTCGTTGTACTCGTAGTGCTCGTCGTACTCGTCGCCGCACTCGTGGTCGTCGTCGTCCTCCTCCTCCTCCTCCTCCTCCTCCTCCTCCTCCTCGCCCCACCCAATCCTCTCAACTCCTCCGCACTCCTCTCAATTCCTCCGCACTTCCCTCAACTCCTCCGCACTCCTCTCAACTCATCCTCTCACCTCCTTCTGTACTTTTCCTTCTGCACTCCTCCGCACTCCTCTCAACTCCTCCTCCCAACTCGTCCACACTCGTTTCAACACCTCCGCACTCCTCTCAAATCCCCCGCGCTCCTCTGAACTCCTCCGCCCTCCTCTCAACTCCTCCTCCTCACAACTCCTCCGCACTCCTCTCAACTCCTCCTCCTCCTCCTCCTCCTCCTCCTCCTCCTCCTCCTCCTCCTCCTCCTCCTCCTCCCTCCTCCTCCTCCTCCCTCCTCCTCATATCCTCTCCTCCTCCTCCTCCTCCTCCTCCTCCTCCTCCTCCTCCTCCCTCCTCCTCCTCCTCCTCCTCCTCCTCCTCCTCCTCCTCCTCCTCCTCCTCCTCCTCCTCCTCCTCCTCCTCCTCCTCCTCCTCCTCCTCCTCCTCTCAAGTCCTCCACATTCCTCGGGAGGGGAGGGGAGGGAATGGAGGGAGGGAATGGAGGGAGGGGAAGGAGGGAATGGAGGGAGGGAATGGTGGTCGTTGTCGTCGTCTTCGTCGTAGTCGTCGTCGTCGTCGACGTCGTCGTCGTGGTCGTCGTCGTCTTCCCCTCGATCGAAATCGCTTCAAAATCAATCTCCCCAGACCCCTCCCGGCGTCTCCCCGACGTAGTTTTCGTCCCAAGTCGATTCCTGGCGGTCCTGGGGCCCAGAACCACACCTCTCAACTCCTCCGCACTTCTCTCCACTCCTCCGCACTCTTCTCAAGTCCCCCGCGCTCCTCTCAACTCCTCCGCGCTCCTCTCAACTCCTCCTCTCAGCTGCTTCTGCACTCATCCTTCTGCACTCCTCCGCGCTCCTCTCAACTATTCCTCTCATCTCCTCTGCACTCCTCCCAACACCTTTGCACTCCTCTCAACTCTTCCTCCTCTCAACTCCTCCGCACTCCTCTCAACTCCTCGTGTCAACTCCTCCGCATCCTCGAGAGGAAAGGAAGGAATGGAGGGAGGGTAAGGAGGGGCGGGAGAGAACGGGAGAACCTGGAACTCGGAACTCGAAATCGCAGCTGCCGCCGGCCAGGGCTTCGCATGTGGGCGCCGTGGCGCCAGGCATGCAAGGGGCCATGGGGGGGCTGGTGCTTCCCCAGAGCCCTCAAGCAGAATTGTAAGGCAATGCACGGCACGGCAGTGCAGGGCACGGCAGTGCAACTGCACAGCACGGGAGTGCACGGCGGCGCACGGCACGGCACGGCACAGCACGGCACCAACGAAAGGCATGGCACGGCAGTGCACGGCACCAGGGTATCGTCGTCGTCGTCGTCGCAGTACTCCGGCACGCGGCGCACGTCGTACTCGTCGTACTCGTCGCTGTACTCGTCGTCGTAATCGTCGTCTTCGTCGCGTTCGTTATCCATCGCATTCGTCGAGGTACTCGCCGCCGCACTCGTCGTCGGCGTCCTCGTCGTCGTCGCTCTCGTCGTATTCGTCGTATTCGTCGTCGTGGTCGTCGTCGTCGTAGCCGTCGTCATAATGTCATCGTCGTTGTCCTCATCCTCTCGGTTGCATTCACTTCCAGGAAATGTATATATAAGCACAGGGCCCGCCTAATCGAGCGCCTTGGCCTGCACTCAGAAATCGCGCTTGTATCGTGCATTCCACGAACCATGTATATCAGAAGATGCACACCGACAGTGTCAAAACAGTACGAAAACCAAGAAACACAGTGAAATGCGACGTCGTGCATAGCGGCCGAGCTCAGGGACCACCCCCTGCGCACCCCCTGTGGTGTCGAGAAAGTGCCACGCCTGCTGTGCCTGGACGACCGTCGTGCATAGCGGCCGCGCTCAGGGACCACCCCCTGCGCACCCCCTGTGGTGTCGAGAAAGTGCCACGCCTGCTGTGCCTGGACGACCGTCGTGCCATAGCGGCCGAGCTGGACGACCGTCGTGCACCAGCCAGGGACCACCCCCTGCGCACCCCCTCTGGTGTCGAGAAAGTGCCACGCCTGCTGTGCCTGGACGACCGTCGTGCATAGCAGCCGAGCTCAGGGACCACCCCCTGCGCACCCCCTGTGGTGTCGAGAAAGTGCCACGCCTGCTGTGCCTGGACGACCGTCGTGCATAGCGGCCGAGCTCAGGGACCACCCCTGCGCACCCCCTGTGGTGTCGAGAAAGTGCCACGCCTGCTGTGCCTGGACGACCGTCGTGCATAGCGGCCGAGCTCAGGGACCACCCCCTGCGCACCCCCTGTGGTGTCGAGAAAGTGCCACGCCTGCTGTGCCTGGACGACCGTCGTGCATAGCAGCCCGAGCTCAGGGACCACCCCCTGCGCACACCCTGTGGTGAAAGTGCCACGCCTGCTGTGCTTGGGACGACCGTCGTGCATAGGGACCCCTGCACACCCCCTATGGTATCGAGAAAGTGCCACGCCTGCTATACCTGGACGACCGTCGTGCATAGCGGCCAAGCTCAGGGACGACCCCCTGCGCACCCTCTCTGGTATCGAGAAAGTGCCACGCCTGCTGTGCCTGGACGACCGTCGTGCATAGCGGCCGAGCTCAGGGACCCCCCCCCCTGCACACCCCCTGTGGTGTCGAGAAAGTGCCACGCCTGCTGTGCCTGGACGACCGTCGTGCATAGCGGCCGCGCTCAGGGACCACCCCCTGCGCACCCCCCTCCTGCCATCCCCTGCGAATCCTACACGCACGTCTTGTATATAGCATGTTCTGTGTATGTGTATGATGCGTGTGCGGCCATATCGGGACGTGTCTCATGTGTGTGCCCACTATGTGGCGCACACGCCTCAATGGACGCTGCAGTGAACACGCCAGGCGCGCACTAGCGTTTTATGGTGTGTGTGTGTGTGTTGTGTGCGAGGGTGTTCATGCGTGCGGCTGTATGTAGACGCGTGTCTCATGTACTTGCCGTGCATGCGTTGAGCGCGGGTGAGGAGAGGAAGGAGGAGAGAGGAGGGGAGTGGGGGTGCGACGACGTGTGTCTCAATGAGGGTGATGTATGATGCGTGTACGGCTGTATGTGGACGTGCGTATCATGTGGATGCCAGTATG